CGCCGCGGCCGGATCGGAGGGCGGCGGTGCCGGCGGCGGGGGGTCACAGCGCGGCTGCGGCGGGCGCGGGCGGCGGCGGCTCCCCCCCGTGCGTCCGTCGTGGGACCTTCGCTCGCTCGGCGGCTGGGGACAGCACGCTCTCCAGCCCGCGGCGGGGGCGGGGACGCCCGGCCAGTGGCCCCGCGCCCCCAAGGTGAGTCCCCGGCCCCCGCGCCGCGCCCGCAGCCGCCGCCTCCTCCTCCCCCGGGACACGCGCACGCAGGTGCAGCCCTAGCCGCGCTGGCCACCTGCGCGCGGACGGCCCGCTCGCCCTTGCGACCCTCCGCCCCCGAGGTCAGGCCGTGCGGGCCGGGAGGGGACGGGAAGGAGGTGGCCGGCGGCTCCGGGCGCGGCGCTGCCCTCGATGGCCCAACCCCCTTATTCACGAGCCGCGGCCGTGTCTCTGCCCGCTGACGTGGGGAGGCCGAACTTTACGTAACCCGCCCGGCGCCCCACGCGTGCCCGCACAGGGCATACCTGGCGCGGAGGCCCAGGCTTGGGGAAGGGACGCCGGTCACGGTGTTGCCCACGGGCCACAGCCCACCCCCACCGTGCCGCTCTCTTTAACTCAGTTACTCCAGCGATAGTGACCCAGTGTGTGTGGATGCGGCCTGCCCTCTGTCCCAGGCTCCTGTGACCAAGGGCTTACCCTTGAAAAAAGGCAGTAGGGAGCCTCGGCCAGAGCCAGAGGTCAGACGCCTAGGCTCAGGTCGGCGCTGGGAGCCCAGAGGACAGGGGCAGGGCACAAGCTCGATTCCCTGTGGTTTGGGAGTCCCCACCAATTCTGGAATGAGCCCAAACTGAGACGCAGGAGACCTGAGTTCTAGGCCTGGCTTTGCCGTGGCTTGCTGACCTTGGAGAAGCTTGTGCCCTGCTGGAAAGTGGGATGGCAGTACCCACTTCATCTAGTAGTTGGGGAGACCAAGAGAAGTATGAGACCTGGAGAGGAAGGCTGATCGTGCGGTGCACACCGGTCTTAAGGTTGTTTTCACCCTTCTGCCTCCTCCCAGGAGCTAGGGGTGCTAACGTGTAAGCAAACATGTTTGGATAGGGCTGGCGCCACGCCCCAGGCTCACCCTGTCCCGCACAGCCGTCATCCACCCTTCCCCTTTCTTACAGATGAAGCTGAGGATCTGCCAAAGACAGTGATATACCCACATCCCCGGAACTAGGCGATTGCGGTGCAGGAACCAGGTAGGTCTGAGTCTAGATCATGCTTGCCTCTGACCGGCTCCAGGGGCTTCCAAGTGGTCTGGGGTCGGAGGTCAGGGTCAGGGTTGCGCTTGGGCTGGAGAGTGGATTTGGCTCAGCTTGTGATGTGGGCCCAAGCTTTCCCATCCCCTCCCTGGCCTTTTCTTTATTTCGGGTTGTGTGAACCTGGCTTAGGTGGGACGGAAGCTCTTCCAGTGGGTCCCTGGGTTGGAGAGGGCTGGGGAGATCTGAGGGCATGGGCAGCAAGGGCATCTCCAACAGAGGTACCAGAGAGCAAGTCTGTTTCAAGGAGGGAGAACTGGTACAGCTAGATCAAGGATGGAGGCGGTGGTGGGCGTGGGAGAGATGAAGCTGTGTGGGATGAATGGAAAGGTCTGGCCAAAGATGGAGGTAGGTACGAGGGCCTGGTGGGCTGGGACCGGAGGGGCTGTGTGAGGGGCGGGGGGGGGGGAGTCTCCGGGCCTCCCCAGTTTTCCCGCGCCTCACCGTGGCCCCTTCTCCTTACCCGCAGGTGTGCCTTTGCGGGACCCATGCCTTGAGGCCCAGGAGCACCCCGCTGCCAGCATGCCGTGGGATGCGCGGCGGCCCGGGGGCGGCGCGGACGGCGGGCCCGAGGGCCCGGGCGCAGCGCGCTCACGGGCGCAGAAGCAGTGCCGCAAGTCGTCGTTCGCCTTCTACCAGGCGGTGCGCGACCTGCTGCCCGTGTGGTTGCTGGAGGACATGCGCGCCAGCGAGGCCTTCCACTGGGACGAGCGCGGGCGCGCCGCCGCCTACTCACCCTCCGAGGCGCTGCTCTACGCGCTCGTGCACGACCACCAGGCGTACGCGCATTACCTGCTGGCCACGTTCCCACGGCGCGCGCTCGCACCGCCCAGCGCTGGCTTCCGCTGCTGCGCGGCTCCCGGGCCGCACGTGGCGCTGGCCGTGCGCTACAACCGCGTGGGCATCCTGCGCCGCATCCTGCGCACCTTGCGCGACTTTCCTGCCGAGGAGCGTGCGCGCTTGCTGGACCGGCGCGGCTGCAGCCGTGTGGAGGGTGGTGGCACGTCGCTGCACGTGGCCTGCGAGCTGGCGCGCCCCGAGTGTCTCTTTCTGCTGCTAGGCCACGGCGCCTCGCCCGGCCTGCGCGATGGCGGCGGCCTCACGCCTCTCGAGCTGCTGCTGCGCCAGCTGGGCCGCGACGCTGGGGCCACTCCCGCCGCTGCTGCTGAAGCCCCGGCCTCTGCACCCGGGGAGCCACGCCAGCGCCGCCTGCTGCTGCTGGACCTGCTGGCCCTGTACACCCCCGTGGGTGCCTGCGGCTCGGCCCGCCGGGAGCTGCTGGGCGACCGGCCGCGCTGGCAACGGCTGCTGGGTGAGGACAAGTTCCAGTGGCTGGCCGGCCTGGCACCGCCCTCACTCTTCGCGCGCGCCATGCAGGTGCTGGTCACCACCATCTCTCCCGGCCGCTTCCCTGAGGCCCTGGACGAGCTGCCGCTGCCTCCATTCCTGCAGCCATTGGACCTCACTGGCAAGGGCTAGATCCAGAGCACCCTGGGCGCTGGATTTGGGGACAAAATTGTTTTTCAGAGTGTTGTACCTGGGACTTTACATATATTGATCTCTGTACAGCACAATGTCTGCCTCGTCTGTCGCATGTATTGGGGGGATGGGCTTAGATGTCCAGGTGGGTTTCAAGTGGCAGAATTTCTGGGTGCAGATGGGCTCAGGCCTTCAGCTTGCTGTCTAGCCCCGGAAAGGAGTGAGGACCAGCCTCCCACATTGATCCAGAGCCTCGGACAGGTGTCCCAGAGGGACTGACAGCTGAGTGCTGCAGGAGCTGGGTAGGTGCAGGGGTGGGGACTGGTGTGTCCAAGCAGCAGGACCTCGTGTAAAAAGGCCTGGAAGCCAAGAGAGGGGGCTCTGCAGCGTGGGGTTCTGACGGGAGGTCCTGTGCGGTCAGACTTTAGCAGCCTGTGGATTCCGGACCAGGGAGGGCACATAGGGCTGGCAGGCCCATGGTGACTGGTGTTGGACATAACAAAGTTGTACGTGGTCCACCCTACCCCCCACTGACTACCAGTTCTTTTTGGACATCACTACCCCCTGACAGCCCGCCCAGGCCTGGATTTGTCCATGTTGGCCCTTTTCTCTTTCCCCAAGACTAATGGGCACCAGTCCTGCGGCTCCCGCTTCTCTCACCTCTGCAGTGGTAGCAGGCCCCTGGCCCCAGCTGCATGCCAGGCAGTGGGGTTAGATGTGCCTTCCTCCAGGGCTGCCCTCTGTCCAAGCCTGGAGTGGCCTGGGTGAGCTCCCCAGCTGGCCCCCAGTGGGTGTTAGGTGGTGCCCCGCGTTACTGAGGGGCAGCTGCATCAGTGCAGGGACAGGCTTCTTGCCCCAGCTTGGAGAGCTCTTTTTTTCAGGAAGATCCTGGAGATGGAGACTTGTTCATGAATGCACCATGACTCCATGCTGAGAGGCTGGGTCCACACCCTCGGAGCCGAGAGACCAGGGAGGATGACCAGGCTGCCCTGCCTGAGAATTCTGCTGGGCCATGAAATTCAACCGGCACTAACGTGCATAGGAGACCCAGTGTCCTGCCAGGAGCAGAGGCTGAAGGTCCGCTGGAGGAAGAGCCACCAGCCTGGCAGGGGCACCTGCTGCCCATCCTGCCCTCAGTGTGCCTGGGGGGAGCATGCCTGGGTGTGGAAGAGTCCAGGGTGCTGGGCTGAACAAGACAGGGTGGAGGGGGCTGGACAGTAGGAAGAGCTTGCCTGGGGTCGTGGATCCGCCACTCTGGGGATGACCTTGGACAAACCTGTGCCTTGGCCCTCAGTCTCCACATCAAGGTTTTTCATCAGCTAACACGTTTATTGTCTTTTTTTTCCCCCCATTTATTTATTTTATTGCATTTTAGGTTTTGGGGTACGCCATCAAGATTTCTATTCAGGAGGTGTTGGGCTGGCTTCGGCCACCCTGCCAGCACTGAAGAGGATGTGACTTCTGTTTCTGGGAAGCATGGGGTGTGTTAGGTGGGCGCATAGCCCTGGTTGAGGGGAGGGAAGGATGGGGAGGGAGCACAGCCCCCTGAAGGAGCCCGGACTCCAGGCTGGAGTGAGGGCTCTACGTCCGCCCTGCTGTGTGTCCTGGACCAGTGCCTCTGAACCTTGGCACTTGGGGCAGTGGATATTAACATCTTTCCAAGCCCAAGACAGGGCATCAGGGTGTCCGGTCCTCTGGGAGGTTGCAGTCCTCAGATCAGTGATGCCATGGGAGGGGCAGGTACCTCTCCTTTGGTGGGTACGGAAGTGAACACAGGAGTGGCCTGGCACAGCTGCAGTGGTTCTTAGGGGCTGGGCCTGGGGAGCCCATGATGCCCCAGCAGCTTCTGCCTAGAAAGCCTGGGCTCCTTGCTGGGGGTCTCGATGTGCAGAATCCCCCATGCCTCCCCAGCTCCAGCTCTGTTCTCTGTAGGTCAGCCCCCACAACGCCAGAGGCCCAGGGCTAGCCCCCGCCACATGCCTCGTAGATCTACAGCTTCCCCTTTGGTGACAGCACCATTGAGTCCCTTGGGTGTGGGGGTCATGCATGGGTGAGGCAGTGCCTTGCCAGGCAGGACACAGGCTTGCTGGCCCTGAGTATGGGCCCCAAGAAAGCCATTGTCAGGTGACCAGGGTGAGTCACCTAGGGTGGCCTTAGAATGCAGGGCGGAGCCTGCCGGAAGAATTGTGGGCACCGCAGCAGGAGGGCAGCCTGGGCCAGTAGCTCCTGATGTCATTGAGTTGGGTGGGGGGACAGGGAGGTCAGAGGAAGCTGGCCAGCCGCTCTCACGCAGCCTTATGGCAGCAGAGCAGTGCCTGATTCCTGGTACAGCTACTCCCACTGAGTCTCCAGGAATCTGTGGCTCAGAAACCTCCCCCGCCCTGGCACTGGTGGGAGGAGATGACCTAGTGTAAAGGTGCTGGGCAGATAAGCAGCTGAGGGCGGCCCCAGGGTTGACTTATCAGTCTCTTGGGCCTTCCTGCCCCAGGAAGGGCAGTGAAGACCATGGTGTCACCCCCGTCATCGTTATCATCCTGGCTATGAGCTTGCAGGACTGGGAGGGCCGGAGCCAGACAGACAGATGGCAGCTCAGCTTTTGCCTGCTGGCAGGTGGCCTTGGTGGCTTCCCAAAGGCAATCGCTACACGCAGAACAAAACTCATTTTTCTCGGCCGGGCGCAGTGGCTCACGCCTGTAATCCAAGCACTTTGGAGGCCAAGGCGGGTGGATCACCTGAGGTTGGGAGTTCAAGACCAGCCTGACCAATGTGGCGAAACCCCGTCTTTATTAAAAAATAATTATAATTAAAAAAAAAAACCCTCATAACTCATTTTTCTCTGGGGCAAAGCACATTGGTTCCTTTGTTTAGTTCATTAATTCCACCAGTCTGTTTGTAAGGAAAAACCTGGCTGCAGCCAGGCCTTCCCCTCCACCCACCTGGCAGGTGCCCAGTGTTCCCACGGGCCCTGAATCCCAACCCTATTCGTTAAGGGGCTAGCATCTCTGCATCCCAAATACCTGTTAGGGAGGACAGTGAAGGCTGAGCACTCCTGGGGTCATCAAAAGCCAGCAGTGAGAGACCACCCCCACCTGCCTGAGGTGACCTCGTAGGGCAGTCCGAGCTGTCTGGGTGGCCTGGGAAAGGTGGGCGGGACCAAGGCCTTCTGGTGCCGGGACCACGGTGGGCTTGCTCTGTGTGCTGACCTCAATCCTGATAGTACCTTGATTTTCCTACTGTGACGTCCCCTTCTGTCCGACTTCTTCACGAACTTTAAAATTCTGTATTGAGGTGGGGCAAGGTGGCTCATGCCTGTAATCCCAGCACTTTGGGAGGCAGATGGGGCAGATAACTTGAGGTCAGGAGTTCGAGACCAGCCTGGCCAACATAGTGAAATGCTGTCTCTACTAAAAATACAAAAATTAGCCAGGCGCAGTGGTGGGCGCCTGTAATCCCAGCTACTTGGGCGGCTGAGGCAGGAGAATCGCTTGAACTGAACCTGGGAGGCAGAGGTTGCAGTGAGCTGAGATCGTGCCACTGCACTCCAGCCTAGGTGACAGAGCAAGACTCCATCTCAAAAAAAAAAAAAAAAAAAATTCTGTATTGAGAGCAGTTTCCTAAGTTATCTCAAATCCTGTTCAGAACAAGGATCTTCCTGGAAGTTGGGAGAGGAGAGAAAACAAGCTTAGTCACAGAAGACTACTCCACGTTTGAGCGTGTTTCACGGGAAGTAACTGTTGGAGGAAGCCTGCCCCTCTGCAGTGTGTGGTTTTGCCCTGATACTTTTCAGAATGAGGTGTAACTTACACATAAGAAAACGCGCAGACCTAAGTGTATACTTTGATGAGTCCTGATGAAGGTCTGCACGTGTATAAACACCACCACAGTCAGGATGAGGGAAAGACAGATTTCTATTGGTGATTCTTAAACATAGTTTCTTTCTGCTTATAAAATTTATGTTTACTGTAGAACACTGGGATTGAGTGGAGAAGTCCGGGCCATGGTGTGGGAGGGCCCTGCCAGGGAAACAGTCTCAAGTGCTCCATCCCCATGTGGTTCCCGGAGGCGGGGCCCTTAAGTGCTCACCGTACAAGTAAAGGTGTCGACTGACTGCACCATCTGCACTAAGCACTGCTAGCATTCTGGGTATGTTTCTTCCAGGTTTTTTCTATGCACATGCATATTACATTTTTTTCTGTGCACATTTTTATATACATGAAATCATATCACTTACACAATTTAGTTGTTTTTTTTGAGCCGGAGTCTTGCTCTGTCACCCAGGCTGGAGTGCAGTGGTGCCATCTCATCTCACTACAACCTCCGCCTCTCGGGTTCAAGTGATTCTCCTGCCTCAGCCTCCCGAATAGCTGGGATTACAGGCGTGTGTCACCATGCCCGATTATTATTATTTTTTTTTTTGTAGAGATAGGGTTTCACCATGTTGGCCAGGCTGGTCTTGAACTTCTGACCTCGTGATCCACCCACCTTGGCTTCCCAAAGTGTTGGGATTACAGGTGTGAGCCAGCACACCACAATTTAGTAATTTTTAATCTTACTGTAGTGTAAGCATTTCCCGCTATTGTAAGGTACTTTGTAAATACGATTTTTTTTTTTTTTTTGAGACAGAGTCTCGCTCTTGTTACCCAGGCTGGAGTGCAATGGCGCGATCTCGGCTCACCGCAACCTCCGTTTCCTGGGTTCAGGCAATTCTCCTGCCTCAGCCTCCTGAGTAGCTGGGATTACAGGCACGCACCACCATGCCCAGCTAATTTTTTTTGTATTTTTAGTAGAGATGGGGTTTCACCATGTTGACCAGGATGGTCTTGATCTCTTGACCTCGTCACTGGTGTCTATTTTGTGACATTTTACTCGACCAGCCTTGATAACAAAGAGTAGTTAGGGACAACTGAATTTTTAAAATGTAAATCTGATTTATTTTTGGAATAAATAATACATTTACATGGCTGGAAGTTCAAAGGATACAAAAAGGCATATACTCCAGGCAACCACTGTGACCAGCTGCTCATCACAAATACAGAACTTGTTTCTTTTTGCCCCTCCTGCCCCTCCCTGGACTTATGAAAAATTTCAAACCTGCCAAAAGTTTGAAGCTTACAACAAATACCCTCCAATGTTCATGTCGTCTCCCTCCCACTTCTCTCCCTTTCTCCTGATTTCCTACAGAACCACGTTTTCATGCCCATGCCCGGGAACTTGATGCTGACATGGTGAGGTCCTGCACGCTGCTTCCTGCACACACGTGCGTCTTAACAGCTGCAGGCTATTTCATGAGAGATTTGCTCACGGTAACATGGCTGTTCCCAAATGCCAGGCTGTTTTAAGTGTTTCCTAATTATAAACAGGCTGTGCTGTTTTCCTTGACTTAGGACTTGTTTTGAGGACAGAAGCAGAGCTGGCGGGTGTGAAGCTGCAAGGCTGCCAACCATGGGGAGCTCCCAGGCTGCTCCCGTCTCCCCTCGGCTCCTGGGGGCCCGGGGGTTCCGGACCAGTGTTCCTTCTGCATTTGTGAAGAGCCCCTATACTCTATTCCAAGTGCTCCTCCGACTGGTTTTTAATTATTATACTAATTTCCCTGCCTAGGGGCCATGCTCATCTCTGTACTGTTACAATTTTTGTATATGTGCTGCTGAAGGGCACACTCCTCGTGTTGTGTCATTTGTATACGTTTTTAAGGTAAATAGTCGACATCAATTCCCATTTGTTCCAATTATTTCCCTTCTTTGAGGTTTTTAATTTGCAGCATTTTTACATTTATTTCCTTCTGTTTATTTTTGAGCCGGAGTCTTGCTCTGTCACCCAGGCTGGAGTGCAGTGGTGCCATCTCATCTCACTACAGCCTCCGCCTCTCGGGTTCAAGTGATTCTCCTGCAAAACAAGGTCTTGCTCTGTCGCCCAGGCTGGAGTGCAGTGGTGTGATCATAGTTCACTGCAGCCTCAAACTCCTGGGCTCCAGCAATCCTCCTGCCTTGGCCTCCCAAGCAGCTGGGACTACAACTGCACATCTCTGCACCCAGCAGCATTTCCCCTTAGTTTTAGATCCTTTCATCCATTTAATATTATTTTGCCCAGAGAAGGAAGCAGTGGCCACATTAGTTGTGAACTGCCCCTCCTTAAACGCATCCGAGATGCCCCCTCCATTCTGTTCCCTCCCTGTGGGCCCCACTAGGCTGCCTGGCCCTCCGAGGGTCCGGGCCATGCCATACTTGATAGGGCAATGCCTGCTGAGGTACCTGTCATCACTTAGCAGTTTTCACCATTCTGTCTTCCCAGGACTGATGGGGAAAGCGAGGAGGCATCAAACAGCACAGGTCTGCAGTTCTACAGAGTTGCATTCCAGTCTCAATGCTGTGTGACCTTGAACAAGTTACTTAACCTCTCTGAGTCTCATGGGGCTAATGGTATTCACCTTGCAGGGTTCTGGTGAGAAGCACACTGGGCATAGTCATGGGCATTTGTGGGCACTAACATTATTCCATTATTGTTTCAATCCCAGTGGGGATATGAACTGAAATCCAGGTCAACATGTGAATTCCTTTGGAGAGAAGGAGGTCTTTGCATAATGTGTGTAGTTTCCCATCCAGGAATGTGGAACACATCTTCCTTTATTCAAATTTCCTTTTATGCCTTCGGGAAAGCTTTGCCGCTCTTCACACGGCCCGAGGTTCTTGCTGAGGTCACTTCCTGGTGCGCGGTGTGTCCTGCGCTGTTCTGGGTGTCAGCTTTTGCATGTGCCAGTTTTCAGTGGGGCACTTCTGCACTATGGTTTCATTTGCTGGCTGGAAATGTAGAACCAGGGGCTTGAACCCCTCCAACGCCTGCCCACAGCTCCATGAGGAGGCAGCCCTCGGCCTCACCCCACAGCGTACTCCCAGAGGCTACCATGGGGTGCAGCCAGCTCTGGAGTGGCCATTCCCCCTTAAAAGCCGCCTGGGCAAACTGGTGTGTATTTCAGCACCAGACAGGCCGGGTCAGGTCTGCTGACGCACTCTCCCTGCGGTGCGGCTGGGTTGGCAGGTTCTCCCCTGCACTGCCCTCGTGAGTGTTGGCTGAGGGCACTTCTCACAGCTCGGGCACCACACTCGGCCAGGTTTGGAAAAAGTCTAGTTTATTGCACTGTCTCAAATCACAACTAAAAATTAAAACCAGAAAGAAAACTGTACAAAGCACGAACCTACAAGGAGTTTAAAAGCATCACCTAGACGTGAGTTTAATTGCACTACAGTCCCGTGGGTGAGGAGAGCGTTGCCATCCATGAGGCGCCGGGCAAGGCACGACAGACACAGAGACGAGCAGCCCAGCCCGGGGCTGCCTCTGCTGCCACCAACTTTTACAAAAGGTCCTAGAAAAGGGAAGTGTGAAGTAAGATCTGGGATTTCGGCCTCTTGTCCTCATTTGGACCTGGGAAACCTGCAGCTTTGTGGCTGGCTGGGTGCTGTCAGAGAACATATTTTATCACTCTCCACCTGTGGCCTGGGGCTCCCTGACACTGAGGACTGGGCCCCGGCCAGAGGCAGGCTAATAAAAGCAGCTAGCCTGGCATCCTGTCCTGAAGCTGCTTCTGGGAGGGGCAGGAGGTGGTCTCAGGGTGGGATGTGTGGCAGGGTGGCCTTGTCCTCTCGCAGATGCCAGTGGGCAGGGTGGGCAGTGCCCCTTGTCTGAAGGGGCCGCAAGAGCCGTCCATAGAGGCACTGGTTTCAACCTGTTGTGTGTCAATCCATACCCTGCAGACGCGGGCTGCCACTCAGAGCCAGCTGGCAGGTCCCATGACCGCCCTGCCAGTCAAGTCTGTGCTGGGGATGCTGCCCCTCTGAAGCTGCAGGCCAGGACAGTGCAGGTTCAGGGTACACCCGGGAAGGAACAAAAGGCCTTCCACTGTTTTCGGAAAATACATATCTCTTCTAAATTTGTAAGATTTGATTTGAAATGAGGTATTTTATGCAGGTTTGTAATACAACAAACAAAAAAGGCAATCATAGTAGACTCATCCTCTGAGGATGCATCTGGCTGTAGCATGTCTGCCAGCAGCGTCAGTTACCACTCCTACGGCAGTCCCAAGTGAGCGGCCCTGGCTCAGCCTCCCACCCGACGCCCCCCCGGGCCGTCCGTGCCTGGGACACACCTGCCCACATCCAGGTCCCATCTGCACCCATTGGCCTTTATTGTTTCAGCTGAAGTGTGCTCTCTGAAGTATGTGTGGGCAGCGAGGTGTGGTGAGGTGAGGTGTGGTGTGGTGTGGTGTGGTGTGGTGAGGTGAGGTGTGGTGAGGTGAGGTGTGGTG